GCTGCTAGTTATAGATACCACCGCTAAGAGAAATAACATTTTTTCTTTTGGTACCGCATTGAAACAGTGTAATGGCACCGTCCTTTTGCTTTTAGACGCATAGGAGACCATTTACGCAGTCCACGGCACCATGGAATTTGAGCATCCGCAGTGCATGAAGCGAAACTGGATCAGTAGGCAGGGCCGAAAAAAAGCCTGCTCGGATACCTGCTGATATGTCACTATACGTAGGTATATTTATACCTAAAAACACCTTTGTCAGCTAATATAAGCATTATTACCTTCAGACACGGCTGTCTGGGCAACATATTTCAATTTGCAAAAAAGATCAGGACAAATCCTCCAACCTCACATAAACCTAACAACCGATCAATGACCAGGGTTGCGTTGCCCTTATACTATTCGCCACCTAACAAACCAATTTTTCTATTAATATTTCTGAAGTTTTAAATTTGCTGATGAAATGGCAGCCATGGTACACATGCCAAGTCATAAATCCCTTAGTCACCATAAAAACTGTGCAACAGTTTGCTGTTTTACTAATGAAAATAGTACACCCAATCCAAGTACAACTACATGCTCTGGTATCAAATGAACAACATTGATTCTACTGAAATAGTAGCATAAATCATCCAGGAAGAAAACAAACCTTCACTCCTGAAGGTCAAATAACAATGCAAAACGATGTCTTGGGGACTGTGCAACACGCAGCAGAGAAATGTCACATTCGCCAATGCTTAGATCGCACGGGCATCGATCAACAAAGAAACTGGCTCAGCAGACGCATCAAAGAAGCCTTAATCATCCATTTACACGAAAATGTCAACCGGGATAAAGGATACCAACTTTGCATGGATTGGACAAACCATGTCAAAGCTGCTACCGTAAAACCATTTAAACAGCAGCATGAGCCAACAGTACATTTTTGGTTTTAAGTGACACGACAGCTGCGGTACTGAAACTGGAAACTTACTGGTCAATCAGCTGACTGTTTGCGTTGTGTACAAATACATTTTTATACGTTCTTCAGTTTTCAGTATGAGCAGTAACAAATTATTCAATCTTCGAAATAATACTACGCCGCTATCTTCTGATATTACAATATATGGAGAAGAAATCTAGCAATGACTTATTTTTCTATACTCTATTTTCGCTTTTCCAATCCTGTCTGCTTCTTCTTGCTCTTCATCACCATTTACTTCATATTCCCATCTCCTACTTCTGCCGGCACCTCTTCTTTTTGTTCCATCTACAGCGTTTATCTTCCTCAACTCGTTTTTCATCACTGTTTCCTGTTTCTTCGCCTCTACCTCATTTTTGTTCTTTTTCATCTTCATTTTTCCTCCTCTTCTTCGTAGTCAGTCCGTTCTTTTACTTCTTCTTTATCTTCGTCTACACCTCCTCCCTGCTCTACTCATATTTCGTCTACCCCTGCTTCATCTCCTTACTCAGCTGGTTCTCGTCTTCTCCTGCATCTTCTTAATCTTCATTTTACTGCCTCTGATTATTCTGTAGGTTAAAAAACAAATAATGTCTCGATTTCCGTATGCAATATAGATCTAAATAATTATTCCCATGACTCGAACCATTGCGTCACCTGTTAAATATTAAAGGGCAGATAACAGAAATACTATCTGCTTATACATAATAATTATATGAGACGTCTGACCATGTAAGAAACATGATAAACCACACTGTCTAACCGCATCGCATGCAGCTAATGCGAAACAGCTAACGGTGGACAATTAGTTGCAGCAACTAACGCCCTGGATCCCAATATTTCTTATTAGTCGTGATTCACCGAATCATCTTTAAAGGACCAGATGGAACAAAAAACCAGACTCACGCAAGTGACACACGTTACGACTACCACTGAACAACTCTTGTGACACAACAGGACAAAAGCATGCGTAAAAAGGTTGACAAAGTGCTACAAAACGAACAATTTACGGTAGGCCACTTGTGTCGTCGTTACGAACTGTCGATCGAAAATCGATGGACTTAATAAGACTACTTAGAAGATAGCCTATTCAATATTACGTGCGCCATACTAATTCACGAATTAGGGTTGCACACTGACACCGCGGATGATAACGTGGTCGAGAAAACTGCTATACTGATATCGATTCTCCGACAACTCTTACATCAGATATAACATATCAGTCTATCATCATGTTGTAGGTTTCTACTCTTTCTTTGTATATTACCCTGTCCAGTGGTCCGTTTTTTCATACACTCTATCCGTTGCAAGTTGTTATGATCTTACTGGCCCAATAAGTAGATTACATTGCACTGAAACTGTAAACTGTTTCAGTGAGTCAGTTGATTGAACTGAGACTCAACTTTGTGACATAAATTCGAATTCGATCGAACAGCGGTTTCAAAGTCAGGACCTCGGAAGAATACGCTAGCAAGCAACTTCAAACGCCGAATTTCCACATGCATATCATGTATTCTGTGCACCAGACCATACTAAATGCCCTTGTTCATGTTATCTTCGAATTTCTCAATGCATAAGGGGGGTTCAATTTCTCTGCTTAGAAATTCAACAACCTTCAAGCTCTCAGCCATGCCACCAAAAGATGCCTGCAGGTTTCTTACTACTGTACACATACACGATGGCTGCTGTCGTCAATGACCGTCTTACTTGCTATTATGAAGTCTTGAAACAGTACCAATGGTCTGTCTTTCGAGACTGGCTGTCCAGCCTCAAAACGATTTTTATTTGTAACTAAGTTGACAGAGCTGTTTGCTACGCCCTAATGGCAAAAAATATCCTCCGCAGCAACGGACCTCGGTTGGTCAATAGGCAGAGCATCAGACTCAGAACCGAAAAGCCCTGGATTCGAGACGGGTCAGAGTCAATCGCCTTTATTTCTAAAGAGGCTGATATATGAGTACAACTGTGGAAAAAAACAAGAAACTACATACTATGCTTGCCACATAGGTGTTGTCCACACCGTCGTTAAAAATAGCGCACTCTTAATCAATTATATGGAAAATGAGATCAGTGCCCCCCCACCACTAATTTTGCGTTAGAAATGGTCCCATCAACACTGCGCAAGTAAAACCAACATTTCAACTGTCACCACTTTGAGTAGCAACACTCCCTCTGCTTGAAGACTTCTGAGGAGGTTTCTCACGCTGTGGACCAATGGATCTCCATGTTCCACGAAATTTGCACGATCTGAGCCTTAGCACTGATTCGTCATATCAGCGATGGCACGTATTTTCAGAGATACGGATAGTTGCAAGCGAATATAGCTAATTACCCTCGAACGGTAACAGCTACTTCGCCCTCCTTCGTCCGTCCTTTGTTATATTTGCACTCATATTCTGTTCCATTTACTATCTGTGTTGATTCTGCCCTTGTTCTAAAATACACTTTTCGCTGAAGTGGTCAACCCTCATTTAGCCCTTTTTCTTTCGGTTAAGTGAGGCAAATTATTAGCCTGCGCAAGGACGTTCGATAAATAATTTCAACTATGGAGAAACATCACCATCAGCCTTTTTCGATTCATCGCAGGAAGGAGGCCACTCCAAGACTTTACCATAAATGTCTGCTTTCTGCGACTTTTAACCATCTTGTTGATTCAAAGATTCAACTTGTTCCGTCCATCCTGCCATCGATCCGATGGTCTTCCTAGAGCCATTTATTTTCTTTCGGCTCCAGTCTAATTTTTCTGGTACAGCGATGGTCGGTTCTTCTTGCAACGTGTCTTGCCCACTGTCATTTCAACTCCTTGATTCAGGCAGCTGCGTCATACAGGCTTATCTGCTCTCTTACTCATTCGTTTATCCTTCTATTTTTACTTTATTTGCAACATCTTTCCATGCTAAAATTAATGAATCGTTTTCAAGCTTAGGGTGCATATTTCATCCTAACAGTTCCATGACCATATCCTGATCGGAAAGTTTTCGTTTTAAGCATCAGAACAGTTTCTAATGAGAGGAATGTTTTCAATCATCCATAAGTGCTTGATGCTATTTATAACTTTCTGATGATTTGGCAGATTCGGTTGCCTGTTGCACAAATCAGCTACCCCAAATAGACAGTTCTGCACCTCCCCAAGCTTAAGTTCACTGACTTCAACAGATCGCTGGGTCACATGTATGTGTCAAAAATGAGTACGCAGAATATCAATGAGGAATACGACTCACCAAGACGAAGGAACAAAAGGACACTGAACATGGACAGCGCGACCGGACAGAAAACGCCCGAAAATGTCGACAGACCCCCTTCGCCAAGATGCAGGATCCCAAAGGTAAACGCTCCGCTGAAACCGCTGAGGCTACGAAACAAATTAGCCTGTAGCAACGGCGCCTTGTCGGGATATACCGTCGAGTCGACGACGGTCGCCCCGGCTTTGGCCGTCAACCCGTTGCTGATGCTTTTGTCTACATGGTTTTCGTCACAGGCGGGACCAAAATCCGTAGATTGATAAGACTGCTTCACGTCAACGAACGAACGACTGTCAGCCATCACTACCAAAAGCGACAAATCTACAAATCAAAAAAGAACATATAAAAACTTGCGTTAGTGTTTATAAGAGACATACAAACGAACAAAAAACGAATAATCAAAAATGCTTCGTTGCATTAAACTTTACATTATGCAAAAATACGCTAATTACACGCTGACAAGTCTACTTTGGACGAGTACACGACAGCTGACTGGTGTAGAGCCGATTTCCGAGCCGAAAACGGCAGTCGAATGGCTGGCAGTTGTTGACGACGCGCTGCCGCGCCAAAGCCAAGAATTAGTCGTTAAGCCATCACCAACGGCTGGCCATCCTCATAGGGTTTCACCCGGTTTCAAGAACACAGGCGCGATTCATTGCCGTGCCATAAAAACCACACGAAGCGATCTCAGCGCAACGGCGAGCATCGTCTTGCATTGTAATGCAAATTATGAGCAGAGAAACGGATAACACGTGAGTCGTCACCTTAATTAACCTTAATTAATTACCGTTAATTCTCAAATGCCTTGACCTAATCTTAGTCACTCCGAGGAGTGCCCCTCGTAACGCTGCAACGATTTATAACTATCGGCGTTTGCGACAACGAATTGATTTGCATGTTTTATCGGTTTCTCATTACAATAAATGTGCCGTTATAATGTTATCAACTAATCGATTATTATTTGGTAATTTTAAGGTTAGTGATTAAATGATGAATATATTAGACTGTTCCATGGGTGAACATAGCATACTAAAAAACTGCTGGAAAACTATCAAACTGGAGAAAACGGATGATGACAAATTTGCTACATTCATTTACTACGACGCTGTGGATCATGTTCCGGAATTTGCAGTGGTTGCATACTACATGATCGCGTACTAAACTGTTTAGCCACGTTTATATATAGAAGAGCAGCATAGAACACGATTTAATAATATAAAATGTAAAAGGCAATATTATCAATTCCGTGACTGACCAATAGCGACGTTTCGCGGTTCAGCGGACTGGATGATCCTTGCTGCCCTTCTCGTCCAAAAACTATTTAATCAGCAGCACGAACCGAAGGCTTGCCTTCTGGTTCCAGAAGCATCAATTACTTCGGACGGCGTACGGAATTCATAAAACTCTACCGCCAACCTGCCATGAAGAAGGACCCTGGGACACAGGCCGAAACGTTGGCATTGGTCAGTCACCGAACTGACGGCAGTTCATTTTCCGTTGTGCATGAGTAAGCTGTGTTTTACACTATTTCCTCAATAATAAAGAACCACGTTATAAAATAGGATACAAACAACATCGCGCTCATCGAAGCCGACTTGCGGAAAATTTAGATTTTTCATGCAGTCCCAGTGACGCGGACAGAAGCAAAATTGTCAGGCGGTAAGAAACCTAGAAAATCTGCGTGACTTCCCCTGCTAAGTAATTAAATTGTGAATAAACGTGTGCTGTTTGAACTTAAGGTATAATACCATATAACAAATGACTCTATTCTTTTTGACAAGATTTCTGTTACGCTAATGATTAGGAATATCAATTTTTCTTTTAGACAAACTGGAATAGCGCAGTCCTTTCATTCCAGCCGCGAACTCCTTGTTGAAAAATCGAAATATGACAGGTATCGACCAAGAGGCTAGCATGCAAAGTGGGTAAATGAAGTAAATGAAGGTTGGTGTTCGAAAATTAATTTTTTCGTCTGCGATGAAATAATTGGTGTCCAATCGAAGTATTCAAATATATGGTTTCACAGGTAGCACTAAAAACGAGACACATTTTGCTAATGCCATAAGTTAAACACAATAATGATTAAAGTTAACAAACAACGATACATGAAACATCTTTAGCGACCGTTGCCGTGAAAACAAAATTTTGTTTGATAGATATTTCAGGAGATCTGCTGTTTATCAGCACATTTAATTAGATTACTTGAATTTTCGTGCATTCCAATGGTTTCTGCTGGAAACCTTTCTCACTTACTTTATCACTTCAAAGAGTAGCTTTAGCAAAGAGAAAGATAGACGTATGAAAGGACGTTTCTCAAGCAATATATAAAAATTGTGCTATTGAGTTGCCACGATATCGTGAGGTTTCGAATTGTGGGCAAGAACGAAATTATGCTAGTTTGATTTGTTGCTCTATTCAGTTCGAATATAATTGTATTTTGTATGTGGTGCTGTTTATTTACCTACAATCGTACAGTAAAATCGCGCTGTGACAATTTTCCTGGTGATCGCTTCTGCACTGAAAGCACAAACATCGGAATTAGGTAAAGAACGAAGCCAAGTCACGCCTAAATCCATCTGAATTGAAGGAAAGTGAGGATATAGTAAAATTGCTGCATTTGAAAAATCTGATTTTTTCACAGCAGGGTTCTGGCAACGTACCGTAGTGACTACGGTTCTTCTCATCTAAAGCTTAACTGTATTACACTACCAGATATAATCTAATGAGTATTGTCTCTTCAATGACATAGGGAGTTCATGTTTATCTGTTTCTCTCAGAACATCCTTGCAGCCCTGTGGCGATTTACAAGACATTTATTATTAGTCTAGTCTGATTTGATGATATGCTCACTTATCACTAGAAACGTCGGACTCAAATAGGAAACCAAGCACTGAAGTTCAACAATCACTGACGAACCTTAATCACAGCTATTACTATCGCAATGGTAATATATGACACACGACCTTTCATTTCTCCAGAATAAGGCGAAGGCAATTTTTCCACACATTCTAACAATCACGGATGTTGTGATATTATCATCGCTCGGTTGTTTCACATATATTCACTAGCTTTCAAGGAACGTATCAATTTATGATTCGCTGGCTGCAAGAAGATGCTGATGTGTTGTTCTACATGATGCCTTAAGCTCTTCCTCTATCACAGTTCAGTCAAACAGCCTTCTCGCTCGAGCAGAATTATTCTTCTGGCAGTCTGGTGCAAATTAAGTTGCATTTATTGCTGAAACGTACTTGCGGGCAGTCCTAACGCTTAATTGGACAGTGGCGTTGCTACAGACGTCAGAAATATTTTCAATGCTGTCGCCTAAGCGCGACCCTAGCCCATTCATTAACAGAGTGTTTTTTAAGTCCTACAAGTTACCCTATTATAATGTACATCTTCTTGCATAGTTCATACTTGCTATGCAATTCTTATTGTCATCGTCCTGACAGTCATTTCATTTCGATTTG